AGAGATCATTCTTATTTTTTTTTAAATTTTTATTAGTAAAACACCATGAGGTACAGTTGTAGACTTACAAATTTTTGTGCTTGGGTTTCAGTTATACAATGATCGAGTGCCTATCCCTCCACCAGTGCCCATTTTCCACCACCACGGATCCCAGTATCCCTCCCACGCCCCATACCTCCATCCTACCCCCCCCCCCCCCCCCCCGCCTCTGTGCCAGGGCATTCCCTTTTGTTCAGAGAGATCATTCTTGATTTCTTTCCTGGAAGCTAGACATTTAAAGTTTTTTTTTTTTAAGGTCCTTGAAGCAAGACAAGAGAGAAAACAATTAATGTGACTTTTTTTTTTGAGCTTCTGTACCAACAGTTTAGGGTTTCAATACTTAAACTGTACAAAAGGAGATTATAATTTATAATAGTTTATAATCTGAAAGTCTTAACAAATTCGTGTGACTACAAAAAATCACCATATTCAAGTTCGTGGCCATATCAAAGATCTACCAAAGTGTCCTTAGAACCTTTGCAATTTTATTTTCCTCCTCTCCCAACAAACTCAAGTCTGATTCTGTCCCTGCATCTCTTTAGTTGTAGATAAATAGAACAATATATTCAGATATGTCTTTCTTCTGGCTTTTCTACTTGATAAAGTTACTTCTAGAGTCACATATCACTTTTCTCAATAGCTTTCTAATTTTCATTACTATAATTATTCCAGTCTATGAAAATATTACTTTTTTCATTTGTCTATGGACACTTAAATTAATTTTCATTTTTAGTCTCTACAGTAAAGTATGGAGCGAGCAGATGCCATTGGGCTACACTAGCACGTGACAGGGATGAATGGAGACGTCACTGGCGCCCGTTCAGGCAAATGGATGATCAACAGGACGACAAGTGATACAAGTGAAGTGATACAGTAAAGTATAAGCAGTATCATATATGCCTTTGTATGACTAAATGAGCTATATTTTATTTTTTACTTTGTTGTTGTTTTTTTTTTTTGGTCACACCTGGTAGCACCTGGTAGTGTAGAGGTTTCTTTCAGCACCGTTTGATGCCCAGCAATGCTCTGGGGACCACATGTGGTGCTAAGGATTAAACTGAGGTTGGCTATATGCCTTGGCCCCTGTACTATCTCTCTGGATCCTCTAAGAATGTGTTTTCATATTTCATGGATAAGTGCCATGAGTAGAATGGGTATATCATATAATAGGTGTATGGGTTTTTTTTTGCGGGGGGGAGGTCACATGGGTGATACTTAGGGATTACTCCTGGCTCTTCAGTCAGGAATTACTCCTGGTGGTGCTCAGGGGACCATATGGGATGCTGGGAATCGAACACACGTCAACTGTGTGCCCTACCCGCTGTGCTATCACTCCAACCTTCAATAGGTGTATGCTTTAATTTCATACCATATGTATTGGGCTGGAGCAATAGCACAGGGGTAGGGCGTTTGCCTTGCACGCAGCCAATATGGCAGACCCGAGTTTGATTCCTCTGCCCCTCTTCGAGAGCCCGGCAAGCTACCGAGAGTATTTCGCCTGCGCGGCAGAGCCTGGCAAGCTCCCCGTGACGTATTCAATATGCCAAACACAGTAACAACAAGTCTCACAATGGAGACGTTACTGGGCCCGCTCGAGCAAATCGATGAACAACAGGAAGACTGTGACCATATGTATTGTTTTCAATGTAATTTTGTTATTTGCAATCTTGTATGTAGTGTAAGAGATTTCTAATTACTCCAGAGCCTCATCAATACTAGGTACAGCCAGTTCTTTTAAATTTTACCAATCTTAGGTAAGGTAAAGGCCCTCCCGTTGTTCATCGATTTGCTCGAGTGGTCCCAGTAACGTCTCCGTTGGAGACTTTGTTGTTACTGTGTTTGGCATATCGAATACGTCACGGGGAGCTTGCCAGGCTCTGCCGTGCTGGCAGAGATACTCTCGGTAGCTTGCCAGGCTCTCCGAGAGGGGCGGAGGAATCGAACTCGGGTTGGCCATGTTGGCTGCGTGCAAGGCAAATGCCCTACCGCTGTGCTATCGCTCCAGCCCTTTACCAAATCTTATGACGTGTAATGGTAATTCATTGTGGGTTTAGATTGCATTGCCCTAATGAATCAGAATGTTGGATCTTCGTTTGTATATTTACTAGTCATAGATACACTTCCTCATCAAATCTTTTTTTCCCATTGTTTTCTTATTATTGAGTTTTGAGCACTCTATGTAATTTAGGTTCTAGTTCTTTATATAACAGCTATATAATATACTCAAATTTTTTGTCATATTATTCTTTTTTTATTAAAATTTTTTTAAATAGTGAGACATCATGAGGTACAGTTGCAGACTTACACATTTTTGTGCTTGGGTTTCAATTATACAATGATCAAATACCCATCCCTCCACCAGTGCCCATTTCCCACCACCATGGATCCCAGTATCCCTCCCATCCCCCATTCCCCCATCCCACCCTGCCTCTGTGGCAGGGCATTTCCTCTTGTTCTCTCTCTCCTTTTGGGTGTTGTGGTTTGCAAAAGAAACATTGAGTGGCAATTATGTTTGGTCTATAGTCTACTTTCAGCATGCTTCTCCCATCCTGGGAGGATCCTCCCAACACCTTTATTTGGTGTTCCCCTCTCCATCTGAGCTCCCTTTTCCCCTAGTATGTGTGGTTGGCCTCCAAGTCATGGAATAAAATTCCTGGTACTAATCTCAGCCATTCTTGGGTGTTAGTTTCCTATTTTGTTACTTTATGTTCCCCAGATGAATGCAATCTTTCTATGTCTATCCCTTTATTTCTGAGTCATTTTGCTTAACATGATACTTTCCATGTAGTATCACTTGTATGTAAATTTCGTGACTTGTCTTTTCTAACAGCTACATAGTACTCCATTGTGTAAATGTACCAAAGTTTCTTTAACCAGTCTTCTGTTCTCAGGCACTCAGGTTTTTACCAGATTCTAGCTATTGTAAAGAGTGCTGCAATAAACAGACAATTGCAGATGTCACTTCGGCTATACTTTTTTGTCTCTCTGGGATATATTCCCAGGAGTGGTATTGCTGGATCAAATGGGAGCTCAATTTCTAATTTTTTGAGAATCATCCATACTGTTTTCCAAAAGGGCCGAACCAGTCGGCATTCCCACCAACAGTGAAGGAGGGTCCCTTTCTCACCACATCTGCGCCAGCACCGGTTGCTTTTGTTCTTGTGGATGTGGGCCAGTCTCTGTGGTGTGAAGTAATATCAATGGAACAGGGTTGAATATACTGACATCTCCCCCCAAGCATACGAGCATCTAATCTTCGATAAGGGGGCAAGAAAAGTGAAGTGGAGCAGGGAAAGCCTCTTTAACAAATTATGCTGGCAAAACTGGACGGCTACATGCAAAAAAATGGGCTCAGATCTCTGCCTAACTAACTCCATGTACAAAAGTAAGATCTAAGTGGATTAAAGACCTCAACATCAGACCGGAATCTATAAGGTACATTGAGGAAAAAGTTGGCGAAACCCTCCATGACATAGAAGCTAATGGTGTCTTCAAAGATGTCACACCGCTGGCCAAGCAAGTGAAAACAGAGATAGACAAATGGGACTATCTTAAACTAAGAAGCTTCTGCACCTCAAAAGAAACAGTGACCAAAATACAAAGACAGTCTACAGAATGGGAAAGGATATTCGCCAGCTACACATCTGATAAGGGGTTAATTTCAAGGATATACTCAATTTTTAAAAAAAAAATCTGCAGTAGGTCTTGATTCTGTTACTTTTATTTGAAAAGAAGATGTTGCAAAATTTGATTAAATTTAATTTATCGTGTTTGTTTCTGGGCCACCTCAAGTTGTGCTCAAGGCTTACTCCTGGCTCTGTGCTCATGGTTCACTTCTGGCAGGCCTGGGAACCTTATGTGGTGCCGGGGTTGGAACCTTGCAAGGCAACCGCCCTACCTGCTGTGCTATCTCTCCAGCCCCTGAACTTGATCATTTTGCACAATAACAATCTCCTGAACGTCTTATTTTTTTAATTTTTGGCTTTTTGGGTCACACCCGGCGATGCACAGGAGTTACTCCTGGTGGTGCTCAGGGGACCATATGGGTTGCTGGGAATCAAACCCGGGTCGACCGCCTGCAAGGTGAATGCCCTTCCTGCTGTACAATCTCTCCAGCTCCCAAATCTCCGGAACTTTCAAGAGCGTGAGGTCTTCATTCATTCGCCAAACGTGACGACCAAGTGTCCCCACGATGACTCGGTCATTTATTTCTCCATTTGGAAGGAGGGTGGTCCCAAGGGACATCCGCGACAGATGCCCAGAGACTGCTCTGCCTGCCAAAGCTGCGCCTGACCGGGTCTGGGGGCCCCTCGGCGGAGCGCCCGCGTGCTTCGGGCGTGCGGTGGACCCTTCGGATGGAAACTACGCGTCCCGGCAGCCCGCGGGGCGGCTGGGCGGAGCCGGGCTGGGTGCGGGGGCCGGGCGCGAGGGGGCATTGTGTCGAGAGCGCCGAGCTAGCTGCGTTTGTCTGCTGGCCGAGCTGCTGGCCGAGCCGGCGTGGTGGTGGCAGACAGGGGATCGGAAGTGTCAGCCGGCGGCCGCGGCTCCGGCGGGAGCCCGAGTGGGAGGCGGCAAGCGCCCGGCGGCCCGCGATCGCTCTTCGGGGGGCGGAGGTGGAGGGGGGGGGGGGGTGTGGTGCCAGCGAAGCAACATGCAGATCGGCGCCCGGCGCCCTGACGACCCCTCCCTTGGAAAAGAGGCCGGGGCGGCGCGGAGCCGGAGGGAGGCCGGGGGGCTGCTGGGCTCGGGGCGCTGCTAGGGAGCGGCGCGCGCGCTGCACACTCGCCGGGGCGCGGCGGCGGCGGCGGAGGGCGGGGAGCCCGGCAGGTCGCGCCAGCAGCTGGCGGGAGCCGGAGCCGGCCACCCGGAGCTCGGTTGATTTTTTTTTTTAATTATTTTTTAAATTTTTCCGACGCGCAACGCGAGTGGGGTTTCCCCCCGAGCAGCCCCTGGACCCCCGGCGTGCCGCCAACATGGGCAACGCGGGGAGCATGGATTCGCAGCAGACCGATTTCAGGGCGCACAACGTGCCTTTGAAGCTACCGATGCCCGAGCCAGGTGAACTGGAGGAGCGATTCGCCAGCGTGCTGGTGAGTGCACGGCGGCGGCCAGACGCGGGAGCCCTGGGCTTGGGAGGGTGGGGGGCGGTGGGGGGCGCCGAGCCCGGCGCTGGAGCTGACCCTCGCACCCCCCCCCCCCCCCCCCCGTCTCCCTTCTCTCCTCTCCTCTCCTCTCCTCCCTGCGCCCGAAGGAGCCTCTCCTCTCGAGCGGGGAGGCGCCCACCTTTCCCATTGTGGTCTCCCCGCCGCACTCCCCCCTGCCCGCCGGCCGCCCCGCGCGCTCAGCCGCCTGGCGCTCCCGGGCTTGGGGGGCGAGCGGCCCGGAGCCGGCTGCCCGGCCGGCCCGAACCCATTGTCTGGCGGGGGACGCACCTCGCCGCGCGTGTGCCCGGGAGGTGCGGCGTGGGCGTGCGGGGAAGGTGATGCGGGCCGGCTCTGCGCGAAGGTGGTTTTTTTTTTTGGGGGGGGGGAGTGTGTTTTATTTATTTTTATAAAAATGAGATGCCCGCACTCCGCGAGCATCTGCCGGCCAGTGCTGCTTTAAACCCCGGGGCCTGCAGGGTCCCGGGCAGGCTGATGGGCCGGGGCCCCGCGGACCGCTGTTCCCCAGCGAACTTGGAGCGCTCCCTTAGTCCAAGGGGAGCTTCTCCCCTTACTCCGTGTCCCCTCCCCTGCCCCCCATACCGAACGACCGGCAGAGTGCGGGGCGCGGGGGAAGCGGCTTTAACTCCCCCCTAGCCGAGGAGCAGCGCTTCGCTTCAACGCGTCTTCGTTTGGTTTTGTCTTGGGTCTTCAATGTGCCACCTCAAAGATGGGCAGTTTGGCGGGGATGCGTGGTGGCTAGCAGTCCCCGCTCCGGCGGCGCGACCTCGCCCGCCCCGCCCCTCGCACCCCCTGCCCGGCGCGCGAGTCTTGGCCGAAATCCGCTCCTTGTGGCTCCCGGTCCCTTCCAAGCCCCGGAGCCTCCCCTCGCTGGTCCCCCTCCCGACTTTGCTGCCGGGACGGAGTTGCGGGGCTCCTCCCAGCCCGCGACTGTCAGTGTCCTGGAGGGTGTGACGGCCTCGCCCCTCGCCCCCGCGCCCGTCCCGGGACTCCGATGTCACTGTCCAGCCTCTGTCCGGGGCTGCCCGGAGGGGCCCGGGCAAGATCGGACGCGTTCCAGTCCCTGACATTTCTAATTCACCTTTTCCCCCCTTGCGAGTTCCCTCCGGACGCAGCAGGAGGAACTTGTGCTCGGGGCAGGGGAATTTTTGTCGGCCCGCCGGCATGGGGCGTGGAACCTCCGAACTTGGAGAAAGGGCTAAAGTCTGAACACCCGGCGGGGACCTTTCCAAAGACTTCCTGCCGGTGGGCGTCGATGGGGCGTCGAGCGGGCCGGCGAGTTCGGTTCCGGAGGGGGGCACTTTAGCTTTGTGCGCCCGGGGACCGCCAGGCCTCCGGAAATCGTGGTGTGGCAGCCGGGAGATAGATGGGGCCCGCCTGTCTCCCTTTGCATCTTCCCCGATCGCCGGACCACAGCTGCTCCCTCCTGGTGCAAGCTGGGACGCTGCAGTGGACCAGCAAAGGCTTAATTACCTCTCCCTGCAGCCCGGGTGCACGCTTGACCTGGCAGTTCAGAGCCGCACATTTTAATTCAAAGGCCTTTTCCTACCAGGCGTGTAGGTAAAGCCCCCAAACCCTTTATAGCTTTGGGTTTTTCTGCCTTCCAGCCACTCTGTGTGTGTGTGTGTGTGTGTGTGTGTGTGTGTGTGTGTGTGTGTGAGAGAGAGAGAGAGAGAGAGAGAGAGAGAGAGAGAGAGAGAGAGTGCAATGGCCCAAGTAATAACAATAATTCTATCTTTTCAGACACTTGTGAGACAGAGACAGGGAAGGAGAGGGGAAGCCCAATGCAGCAGTCATAATAATAACAATAATGCAATTAAGCCCTGCACAAGTCGGATAGCATTTTGTTTTGCAAGAGCTTTCAGTATCCGGACTGATGATTCACACATGGTGTGAATTAATCTTCAGAAAAATAATGTCTCTTCATTAATGTGGTAGATTTGTGTTACTGTAAAGCCCAGCCTAGGCAGCAAGTTCCTTACGGGTCTGGGTTGGTTGGTGGTTAATCTTAACTCCAACCACTGTGCTTCACAAGCAGTTACTGGATCCAGCTCCTTTCTTAATTGTTTTCAACATTCATAGTCTCACAGAAGGAGAGGAAAAACAAAAGCCCAGAATGCAAGGGTAACCTTTTTGGAAGAGTTTGAGCTGTTGAGAAAGTTTCCATTTGGGGCCCTTTTTCTTAGGGACTCGACTTGGACCACGGATGTGGCTTCAGAACAATTATCTTTGTGGGATTTCTCTTCTGGTGAGAGAAATAAAGTCCGTTGTATACACAATGTTGGCTTTTCCTTAGGAGTTGCTTCAGAAATTCGCTCACAGTAGTAAATCTTAGAGACCGAGCTCAAAGGACAGATTTTCGGTGGTTAAGTTTGTATTTTGTGGGGAGAGAAAGTGTCATGCAGTGTTTGGGGGACCCAGCCCCACTCACCAGGATGCTTGACCTGACGGTGTGGAGGCCCTTCAGGTCACCTCTGGCAGTATGTGGGGATTGTGGTGACAGGAATTCAACTTGGAGCCTTATGAAGGAGTTCTCTACCTGAGGACATTAGGAATCCTTTATGCAATGATAACTATTGATAATCACTGGTAAAGCTAAGTATTGAGATTAGTCTTGTTTGTCTGTATGATAAAATGTAAGTGGAGGAGTAAACCAACTGGTAATACTGTACAGAAAAGGATATACCTCACTGTAAGTACTGCTTAAATCAATAATTAACAGGCCATTTCAGACCGGCGAGGGAAACAATTTCTCTCACTCTCAAGCTCTAGAATATTTAAAACATCGGCAACAGTAAATATAAATTACAATGGCAGAAATGTGTCTTATTTTGGGGAAATCTGGAGAGAACACACCACTTTGCGACTGTACCCCTCCCTCTCCCCTGTATCAGTCTCTATATGTGTTGAATTTTATAAATATAAAAAAATAAGTGGGGGTCTTAGATGGTACAGGAGTTAAGGCTCTTGCGTTGTATGTGGCCCACCTCCACTTTGGTACTGACACCACATGTGGTTTCCCAGTCCCTCCAGAAGTAATCCCTGAGCACAGAGCCAGGAGTCAGCCCTGAGCACTGCCGTGTATGGTCCAGGTCCCCCCTATTTCCTCTGCCCCCTCATTTAGTGGGTAGCATTGGAAAGGTGGAAGTATACATAAAATTGCTTTACTATTAGGGGGAGATCAAACGTTTAAAAGTTTATTTTGATTTTTCCTATTGCTTGAGATTCTGTGATTTACAACACTGGTTTCCTATGCGCGTAACTCTAAAACCACACCTAACATCAGTGTACCCACTTCCCACCCCCAAGGACCCCAGCGCCTCCCCACCCCCTTTCAAGCCCTCCCTTCCTCAACCCAGCAAACTCAGCTGTGTGGCTCAGTTCTCCTGTGGTGTTGCCTTTGGCCCTTTGTTGCTCCCTTGCTGGGTATCTTTAAGCTCCATATGAAAGAGATTATTCTGCAGCTGGGTGGAAGAGCTCGACTCCAATCCGAGTAGGCTTGGAGATCTCGGCCCCGGAACCCGCGTGGCTTTGTCCCTCTGCCAGTACCTTCATGTGTGCGGAGAGTGGTCCTCCAAATTCCAGTAGGCGGGGGTCACACCCACCACCTGGCCCCCTGGCGCCGTGTAATCCCATCAACGGCCAAGACTCAGAGACTATAAAATCCAGCTCCCGGAACCGCGTGGCTGCATTTGCGGCCATGCGACATCTTATCAGGACATCCTATTATGACATCTTATTATCTCATTCCTACTTTGGACAAACTGGAAGGCTACCGAATGTAGCCTGCCCACACGGCAGAGTCTGGCAAACTCCCCGTGGCGTACCAAATATGCCAAATACCAGTAACAATGATGGGTCTCATTCTCCTAAAGAGCCTTGAATATAATCTCAGGGCTAGGATGAAAGAGACGTTACTGGGGCCTGCTCGAGGCAATCGACGAATAACAGGATGATGAAATGAAAAAAAAAATTCTGCAGCTATCCTGTTCCTTCTCACTGGCTTCATTTAGCATGATATCCATGTCACGGGAAATTGCACGGTTTTATTCTTTCTTAGAATCAAATAGTATTCAACTCTATCTATACCACAATTTTGTTTTTATTTTGGTTTTGGTTTGCGGGCTACACCCGTCGGTGCTCAGAGCTTATTCCCAGCTCTGCACTCAGGGATCTCTCCTGGTGGAGCTTGGGGGGCCATTTGGGGTGCCGGGAATCAAACCTGGGTTGGCTGCATGAAAGGCAAACATCCTGTCTGCTGTGTCATCTCTGTGTCATCTCTCTCTCTACCACAATTTCTTGATCCATTAATCTGTATTTGGGCATTTGGTTTATTTCTATAACTTGGCTCCTGTCCTAAGTGCTACAGTGAATATAGGTGTACAGAGATGCTTTTAAATGAATGTTTTTTTTTTTTTTTAGCTTTTTGAGTCACACCCAGCAATGCACAGGGGTTACTCCTGGTTCATGCACTCAGGAATTACTCCTGGCCGTGCTCAGGGGACCATATAGGATGCTGGGAATCGAACCTGGGTTGGGCCCCGTGCAAGGCAAACACCCTACCCACTGTGCTATCATTCCAGCCCCAAATGAATGGGTTTTTTTGTGTGTGTGTGTTTTGTGGATACTGCTGATAATGCTGATAAGATGCTTTGGTATCACTGGGTTGTTTGGGAGTTCTAGTCCTATTTTTGGGAGAGATTTCCAATTTGTTTTCTATAGAGGCTGAACCAGATGATGTTCTCACCAACATTGGATGAGGGTTCCTTTCTCACCACAAGAAGTTAAACATTTTAAAAGTTCAAAGTTAAGTTAAACATGTTAAGTTTTTTTAATATAATTTTTAAATTTTATAAAGTAGTTCACAATATTTCATTACATTTCATATTCAAACACCAATCCCACCACCATTACACCTTCCCACCACC